AGATGATAAACATTCACAATAAGAACCACAAGAACAATACGGTGATAAATGGTAAACATTCACAATAAGAACCACAAGAACAATACGGTGATAAATGATAAACATTCACAATAAGAACCACAAGAACAATATGGTGATAAACATTCACAATAAGAACCACAAGAACAATATGGTGATAAACATTCACAATAAGAACCACAAGAACAATACGGTGATAGATGATAAACATTCACAATAAGAACCACAAGAACAATATGGTGATAGATGATAAACATTCACAATAAGAACCACAAGAACAATATGGTGATAAACATTCACAATAAGAACCACAAGAACAATACGGTGATAGATGATAAACATTCACAACAAGAACTACAAGAACAATACGGTGATAAATGATAAACATTCACAATAAGAACTACAAGAACAATACGGTGATAGATGATAAACATTCACAACAAGAACTACAAGAACAATACGGTGATAGATGATAAACATTCACAACAAGAACTACAAGAACAATACGGTGATAAATGATAAACATTCACAATAAGAACCACAAGAACAATACAGTGATAAATGATAAACATTCACAACAAGAACTACAAGAACAATACAGTGATAAATGATAAACATTCACAACAAGAACTACAAGAACAATACGGTGATAAATGATAAACATTCACAACAAGAACTACAAGAACAATACAGTGATAAATGATAAACATTCACAACAAGAACTACAAGAACAATACGGTGATAAATGATAAACATTCACAATAAGAACCACAAGAACAATATGGTGATAAACATTCACAATAAGAACCACAAGAACAATACGGTGATAAACTGGTTCTTATTATTTAACTTTTATCATTGTACCATTGTTGTGGTTCTTATTACAAACTTTTATCATTGTGAATGTTTATCATTTTATCATTGTACCATTGTTGTTAAATAATAATAACCACAACAATGTTACAACGATAAAAGTTTGTAATAAGAACCACAACAATGGTACAATGATAAAAGTTTGTAACAAGAACCAGAACAATGGTACAATGATAAAAGTTAAATAATAATAACCACAACAATGTTACAACGATAAAAGTTTGTAATAATAACCACAACAATGGTACAATGGTAAAAGTTTATAATAAGAACCACAACAATGGTACAATGATAAAAGTTAAATAATAATAACCACAACAATGTTACAACGATAAAAGTTTGTGATAAGAACCACAACAATGGTACAATGATAAAAGTTTGTAATAAGAACCACAACAATGATACAATGGTAAAAGTTTGTAATAAGAACCACAACAATGGTACAATGATAAAAGTTAAATAATAAGAACCACAACAATGGTACAATGATAAAAGTTTGTAATAAGAACCACAACAATGGTACAATTGTAAAAGTTTGTAATAAGAACCACAACAATGATACAATGGTAAAAGTTTGTAATAAGAACCACAACAATGGTACAATGATAAAAGGTAAATAATAAGAATCACAACAGTGGTACAATGATAAATGATGGCTGATTACTGCTGGTCATTGAAACAAGATGCTCCAGATGCAATACATGAAAGAAGGACCACAACACGTAGTTTTGAGACTAAAAGACATAGGTTTCAGAAAAAAAAATCAGGATGAATGATGGCACATATTCGTTTGACATCAATGTTCTTCACTTTGTTTGTAGTTTTGTTAAAAACTTAATAATATAAAATATTCATTGTGGTAAACAAAATAATTACTTGATCTAAATACGTTTTTCTTCTTCCCGATTTGTAAAAAAGTCCTCAAGTGATACAAGAAAATGAATATTATTTTTGAAATCTGTGTAGCTGAATTATGGAAAATATGTTATTAAAACCAACACAACTTTTATAAAATTTGAAATCTGTGTAGCTGAATTACAGAAAATCTGTTACTAAAACCAACACAACTTTTATAAAATTTGAAATCTGTGTAGCTGAATTACGGAAAATCTGTTATTAAAACCAACACAACTTTTATAAAATTTGAAATCTGTGTAGCTGAATTACGGAAAATCTGTTATTAAAACCA